GAATCTAGTATAATCTAAAGCATAAAAATAGTAATATCAATATATATTACTGCATTATCTCTGTCATTAGAAAGATATTAATCGTTCATTACTAAAATCAAAAACTTATCAAATCGGCCAAACAATCATTTGGTCAATTTTTTACTAGATGTCCTAAAATTAATGAAAACAGCTATAAGTAATTAATATATAAAATGATATATTGCTTATTATAATATAAATTAATTTAAGCTTTATTTTGTTACAATTAGAATTAAAAGAATTATAGCAATTTTTAAGGTATAAATGTTAGAAAGTATAGGAGAAATAAAATATTTATCTTTGATAACAAATATTGGATATAAAATCTAATAAATATTTTTAAGTAACAAAATTAAATTTTAAGTGACAAAATCGTAATTATCACTGATCTACACCACATAATGCGGAAAAAATGTACTATGCCCTGGCCCAGTTAAGTCTAACACAGGTTACAATAGTGCAATTTGTCTTTGTTTTTTTTTTTATTTTTCTTTTTGCTACTTGATAGTAGCACCTTTTACTTTGTTAGCCTGTTTTGGGCTTTGCTCTTTGTTTTCTTTTTTTTTATAATTCATTGATCCTCTATTATTATTTCTTTATAACTTCTTCTTTTCATATTATTTGTTTTTTTTATATATATTACTTTGTTTTCTTTATAATGTTGGGTCTGTATAGTTAATACAAAATTTTTTTTTTTCTTTTTTAATCTCAATAGAAAAATGAATTCAAGAAGTTTAAGCTTGAAATAAGCTAACAAGATCTCTTAATTTATCATGATATTGGTGCAATGAGTCACAGCTAGGTATGTAATGCACAGCCAGATAATGTTAAACTTGCAATCTCAGATAAATGATCCAGTTTTTAGAAAGTTTATGCTATCTGTTTATTGTAATTAATCTGTAATAAAGTTTTGGCAAGGCTGTTAAAGTTTTAAAAAAATAAAATAAAAAAAAATAAAAAAAATTCACAGTATAATCTATTAATTCATGTAATGTAAAATTTATTTGATTTGAAGTTAGATTGGAGTTAGAGTTTAAAGTTTAAGAATATTTACTAAATATATATTTAAAATTTCTTTTTAGTTAAAATTTGCAAGTAAAATTTTTTGTTATATGTATGAACCCGTGCTTCATACACTAATGTATTAAATCAGATGTCAAACGATTGCAGATTAACCAAAGCTAAATATATACTATTAGTTAATCTGCAATCATTTGATGTCCGACTTAATCACAAGTATTAACAAGTATTTGACTGTCAAATTTTTGTTTGATTGTGCCGAGCACTATGTATAAATATAAATAGTTTTATATTTTTTAAAAAAAATTATTACATATTTAAAAAGAAAAATTATATTTATAATACCATGTTATATATAACACCCTATTATTTAAACTATGCTGCTGCGCTTAGGGTTAGTGTTAGCTTAGTGTAAAATTGCGAGAGGAGCATTTGTTTTCTTAGTTACACGACAGGGTTACCCTAGTAAAATTTTGATATTTAAGAATTTTGAAAAGTTCTATATAAGGTGTTAGCAAATCCATGTAACATATAAATTTCATATACAAAAAAACTACTTAATATTAGAGTTAGAGTTAGGGTTAGAGGTTAAAGTTAGAGAGTATTTTATACTAAAATTTGCGTAGATTATTTTTTGTTAGAACCCACAAAAGTAGTTTTATAATCAAAATTTTGCGTAATAACAACACCCTGTGTATACACACTAGTGTACAAATAGTAATTCTCTTATTTTTATTTTCAAAAGATTTTATATGAAAATAATGCCTTTTTTTATTAAAGAAATGTATTTGACAAAATTATATTTGAAAAGTAATTAAATATAAGTTTAAATTAAATATATTGTATTATGTGTGTGCTCTTGTTAATATTGTGCAGAATTATCATCAATGGAACCGTAATTTAAGGTGAAGTTATGCGCGGATCAGCACCGATAATTTTACCGAAGCATCTCCAAAGCATATCATCCGTAGTTGGCTATTAAAAGCTCATTTATTTTATCAACCCAATCGTTGGCTGTACCATTAGGATCGTCAAAATAGTACGTTCTTCGTGGCTATATAAAGGAAATATATATATATATTATATCGGCATGTAGGGCCATGTAAAAAGATAAAATACAAGTAGGATTATAAAAATTAAACAGCAAATTAATATTACATTGGGCTATGTTTGATTTGCAAATTTATCCAAAACATGATTAAATGCCGAATTGGATAAGCGAGTTGTAAAAATTACCCAGATAAAAGCTAGTATGATAAGAAAAGAGTGCGTACCGTATGCACAAAAAATGTCTTTTTAGTCTTCAACTCGACTACCATCCTGGAACTCCAATATATTTCGCCCTTTTGCTCCATTTTTTCTTGGTCAACGTATATTAATCTGGGGAAATCCGTTAAAATTAGTAAGCGTTTTTTAGAGAAAAGACCTTTACGCTTGTTAATAGGTCCTGCGCGGATTATAAGCTCAGATTTGAGCAAAAACGGGATCCTGAAATTTAAAATTATAATTTATATATATATATATATATACGTATATATGTGCATATATATGTACAACAGCCATACCATTGTGCAGAAGTTCGTTTTTGTTCCTCCAGTTTTTTTGCTTTTTCAGGATCTACCTTATCCGATCCATCATCACCACCTGCCCAACTTTCTAGCCTAAAGGGATCATTTTGTTTAAGACCGGTAGCAATCGGGCTACTATTATTATCTTTCTAATGACAGAGATAATGCAGTAATATATATTGATATTACTATTTTTATGCTTTAGATTATACTAGATTC